TTATTTGCTCAGCATACAGGTTGAATAAGTATGGTAAAAGAATACAACCCTGTCGCACACCTTTCTTAATTTTAAACCATTCAGTGTTTAGATTAGTAGTTACAGGCAAAGCCACCCAAGGATCATATATAAATTGACTGCCATCCAGTTGGTTCCCACTCATAACACTCCTATAGGACAGAGTAGAACTACTACTTGTTACTGCTGTTGTTAAGTGCCATCAAGTTGGTTCTAACTCATAGTGATCCTTTATAGGGTTTCCAAGATGGTCTGTCTTTACAGGAGCAGAAAGCCTCATCTTTCTCCAGAAGAATGGCTGGTAGATTTGAACTGCTAACCACATGTAACCAAGGCTTCTTGTACCATATATAGACACTTAGAAAAAGGTAAAAAGAGAAGAAAGAGCAATTTTAAAACCAAGTAAGTCAATTAGCATGCATGCTTTGAGGCACACTGAATGTTTCAGAGACCCAGGTAACTGAAATGAGTCAGGTTGGCAAGAACTCAGAACTTTGAAGGATGTAATTGCTGCTGAAATTAATTGTCAGGATGTGGGAGTTAAACTCCTCCTACAAAAATGTTCTAGAACATTCCTAAAGACAAAACAAAACAAAACTGGTAGCAGTTACTAAGTAGACTCAGCCTCTTAAATCTTAGAAATTTGATGTGCTCTCATAGTGGGGAAAGCTTACATGAATTTGGGTTTGCATGCTTAGTAAGATGAATCACTTAATAAGGCGAATCAGTAAGTGCTTCAAGTCCTCTTGGCTTTCAGCAAGCTAGGTTATGTCATATGCATATCAAAGATTGTTAAAAAGCCTTCCTGGAATCCTGATGCCTTGATTTAAAATTAGGAATGGTTTTTGGAGGGTTGTATTCTTTCACCGTACTTATTCAACCTGTATGATGAGTACATAATCTCAGAAGCTGGCTTATATGAAGAAAAATGCGGCATCAGGATTGAAAGAAGACTCATTAGCAATCTGTAATATGCAGATGATACGACTTTGCTTGCTGAAAGATGAGGATTGAAAATACTTACTGATGAAGGTCAAACACCTCAGCCTTCAGTATGGGTTGCACATCAACATAAAGAAAACAAAAATCCTTACCACTGGAACAAAAACAACATCCATATAAATGGAGAAAAAATTGAAGTTGTCAAAGACTTCATTTTGCTCAGATCTACCATCAACACTGATAGAAGCAGCAGTCAAGAAGTCAAATAACGTATTGCATTAGGCAAATCTGCACAAGATCTCTTTAAAGTGTTCAAGAGTAAAGATGTCAGTTTGAGGACTAAGGTGTGCTGACCAGAGCCATGGTATTTTCAATAACCTCATATGCATGAGAAAGTTGGACATTGAATAAGGAAAACCATAAAGGAACTGATGCATTTGAGTTATGGTGTTGGAGAAGAATATTAAAAGTACCCAGGACTGCCAAAAGAACAAACCAACCTGTGTTGGAAGAAGTACAGCCAGAATACTCCTTGAAAGCCAGTATGGCCATACTTTGTCTATCATACTTCAGACATATTATCGGGAGGAAACGGTCCCTGTAGAAGGATATCATATTTGGTAAAGTGGAGGGTCAGAGAAAAGAGGAAGACCTCAACAACATGGATTGGGACAGTGGCAGCAGCAATGGGTTCAAATTTAGCGATTGTGAGGTTGGTGCCAGACCTGGCAGTGTTTCCTTCTGTTGTTCATAGAGTTGCTATGAATTGGCATCAATTCGATGGCACCTAACAACAACAACAACAATTCTGATACCTTATGCTTTTCAATATAGACCAGTTTCTTGGG